GCTAAACAATGGTGAACAGATGTAACCTACAAACCAATGACTCAATTGTATGTACTATCATTCCATATAATATAATATTTTTAATAATTGGAGGGTTTATTTGAAAAGTATAAAGTTTAAAATGTGTATATAGAATGGTCTTCATTTAAGGGCGTGTTTGAAAATTAGAAAAATATTTTATGAAAAATGAGTCATTCTCCAGAAAATATTTTCATTTGCAATTTTTGGTTGCATTCCAGAAAATTATCTTAGTGTGTGTTTGGTTCATTTTTTGGAAAATAATCAGAATTGTATAATTAAATATTTTAATTATTTTTTTTTAGAATATAACACATTTATAATAATAACTAGTAATCTTTTATGCGCGATGCGCAAAAAATAGGTGCTCAATATTAGTGCTTTATATTAAAATTTTAAATTTATTTAGATTTTAGATTTTTAAATTATTGTATATAATAATAATAATAATAATAATAATAATAATAATAATAATAATAATAATAATAATAATAATAATAATAATAATAATAATAATAATAATAATAATAATGTAAAACATTTTTTTTAAAAAAAACATATAACTCCAATATGTATATATTATTATTAATGAAGAAGATAAGAAAATATATGGTGGATGTATATGCATGGTAACAATAGTGGAAAAGATAACGGAAGTTATAACGGTAGGGGTATGTTTGTCCAAAATATTTTAAAGTACAACTTTTATAGCATAATGTATAAAAAACATAACAGAAAAAACGGACAAAAATGAAGGGTATAACCTTCATTCACACTGTTTTTAGATATATACGGAGTAACAATTTTAAATTCCAAGACAAAAATATTTAGCAATCCATAAAGATGATTATCAGCAATTAGTTCACACAACATCATCCTCCACAGATTATGCCTTGTGGTCCAATAGCACCAAGTTGCTCCCTTATATGGGAGGTTGTGGGTTCAAGCCTCAGTGGAGGCGTGCTATGGACTCTTTGTGCTTCAGTAGGTTGTTGAGAAAGTAGTTATGAACAGATACTGCATTGTAACAGAGTCAGAGTTAGTAGTACTCTTGCGCCGTGAAGAAGCTGTTGCAGCGCCGAAAATTCCTCGAAAAGAGGCCGGAGTGTGGAAGGAGAAGATGATGAATGTTACCAAAGTGTGTTGCAGCGCCGAAAATTCCTCGAAAAGAGGAGTGTGGAAGGAGAAGATGATCGAAAAGAGGAGTGTGGAAGGAGAAGATGATGAATGTTACCAAAGTGTGTTGCAGCGCCGAAAATTTGGCGCTCAGAAAACTGAAGTTACCACCGGAATTAATGGTCGAGGCTGTGCCGGGAAAAGAGAGGAAGGAAAGAATGTGTTGTTGCACCAAAACTGAAGTTGCCGCCGGAATTAATGGTGGATGCTGCGCCGGGAAAAGAGAGGAAAAAGAGGAAGGAACGAATGTGTTGTTGCGCCGTGAAGAAGCTGTTGCAGCGCCGAAAATTCGTCGCTCAGAGAGGAGAGATGAAGGAAAGAATGTTGTTGCGCCGTGAAGAAGCTGTTGCAGCGCCGAAAATTCGTCGCTCAGAGAGGAGAGATGAAGGAAAGAATGTTGTTGCGCCGTGAAGAAATTATTGCAGCGCCGAAAATTCGTCGCTCATAAAACTGAAGTTGCCGGCGCTACGCCAGGAAAAGAGAGGAGAGGGGAAGAACGTATTTTCGGCGCTCAGAGAGGAGAGATGAAGGAAAGAATGTTGTTGCGCCGTGAAGAAATTATTGCAGCGCCGAAAATTCGTCGCTCATAAAACTGAAGTTGCCGGCGCTACGCCAGGAAAAGAGAGGAGAGGGGAAGAACGTACGCCAGGAAAAGAAAGGAGAGAGGAAGAACGTGGAAGGAGAAGATGAGGATAGAAAGGAGAGATGAAGGAATTAATGGTAAAGAGAGGAGAGGGGAAGAACGTACGCCAGGAAAAGAGAGGAGAGAGGATAGAAAGGAGAGATGAAGGAATTAATGGGCGACGCTCCGCGGAGAAGATGAAGATAGAAAGGAGAAATGAAGGAATTAATGGTCGACGCTCCGCCGGGAAAAGAGAGGAGAGAGGAAGAGTGTAGACGAAGGAATTAATGGTCGACGCTGCGCTGGAGAGAGGAAGGAATTAATGGGGAATTAATGGTCGACGCTCCGCGGAGAAGATGAGGATAGAAAGGAGAGATGAAGGAATTAATGGTCGACGCTCCGCCGGGAAAAGAGAGGAGAGAGGAAGATGAGGATAGAAAGGAGAGATGAAGGAATTAATGGTCGACGCTCCGCCGGGAAAAGAGAGGAGAGAGGAAGAGTGTAGACGAAGGAATTAATGGTCGACGCTGCGCTGGAGAGAGGAAGAGTGTAGACGAAGGAATTAATGGTCGACGTTGCGCCAGGAAAAGAGAGGAGGGAGAAGATGAGGATAGAAAGGAGAGATGAAGGAATTAATGGTCGACGCTCCGTCGGGAAAAGAGAGGAGAGAGGAGAGAGGAAGAGTGTAGACGAAGGAATTAATGGTCGACGCTGCGCTGGAGAGAGGAAGAGTGTAGACGAATGAATTAATGGTCGACGTTGCGCCAGGAAAAGAGAGGAGAGAGGAGAGAGGAAGAGTGTGGAAGGAGAAGATGATAAATGTTGCCAAAGTGTGTGTGGATATGGAAATTGACTTCCCCCAAGTCAGTAGTACTAAAAAAAGAATGTTTTGTTGCATCGTGAAGAAGCTGTTGCAGCACTGAAAATTCGTCGCTCAAAAACTGAAGTTGCCGCCGGAATTAATGGTCGACGCTGCGCTGGGAAAAGAGAGGAGAGAGAGGAGAGAGGAAGAGTGTGGAAGGAGGAGATGAAGAATGTTGCCAAAGTGTGTGTGGATCTGGAAAATGACTTCCCCCCAACAATATATGGAAAATTGTCAAATACACCCTTCAACTTTATGTAAGAGGTCAATTAGGCCATCAAACTTTTGAAAGTTTCAATTAGACACATTAACATATTAATTTAGTACATCAATGCCCAAAACCCTAATAGTGACCTGCAATAGCAGGTCAATAATGCACCAACGGAGCTCCGACAAAGGTGTGACCAACGGGTCGCCTTATCCATCGACAGAGAAGGTGACTAGTTGGTCGCCATCTATCTCCAATCGATTAGAGGTGGAGAATTGGTCACCATCTCTCTCCAATCGACTGGAGACGGGGACCAGTTTGGTTGCCATTTCCAACGACGGAGAAGGCGACCAGTTTGGTCTCTTTCTCCGATCGATGAAGATGTCGCCGGAGTTTCGCAGTGCATTATTGACATGCTAGCTATAGCAGATCACAATTACAACACGTTTGGTTCATGAAATGAATTTTTGGGTAATAGGAATGCTATTCCATAAGGAGTAGAATAGGCAAGGAATAGAATATGAATTGTATTCTATTGTTTGGTTCGCAGAAGGAATAGACTTGAGGAATTATATTACAGTGTTTGGTTGGTTTAAAGAATAGAAATGAAATATGTTTTAAAAAATATAAATACCCTTATTAAAATATGTGGTGGTGGTGGCGGCGACGATGGTGGTGGTGGCGACAGTGGCAGCGGCGGTGGTGGGGCGGGGGTGGTGGCAGCAGTGGCGGTGATGGTGGCAGTGGTCGTGGTGGTAAAATAGAAAATAAATTTAATTAGTGTAAAATAAGAAATATATAAATGTGTGTGTGTGTGTGTGTGTGTGTGTGTGTGTGTGTATCATGAGAGTGAGAGTGAGAATGTGTGTCTTTGTACTACTGCTAGTCAATTTTTGAATTTAAGATTTTATTCCGCGAAGGGCCCTAGTATTGATAATTGATAAATTCCTTAAAGGTTTTTATGACAAGCTTTCTGTTAATATGATTGAATCTGACCTAAAAGAGAAGCGGGGATCCAATGTTTTTAAATTTCATGATTCGGTGTTTCAATCGAGAAAGCTATGCTGACGACATGTTAAATCAGCCTGACCTAAAGGAGAAGCGGGGATCCAATGTTTTTAAATATCATGATTCGGCGTTTCAATCGAGAAAGCCATGCTGACGACATGTTCTATCAGCAAATAATTAATCGATTATTTGAACGTAACTAACAAAACGGTGTTAATTATTGTAATTTTTTTGAGTGTGAGGTTCTATCCTGAGTTTTTTTCAAAGTTTAAAAAGTGTACAACAATTCAAACCAACTTGGTTGGCGTGTGTGACTATGCACTCTCGTCCCTTCTCGTATGGAAAAACTAATATGGCTAGCACTTCCCTTAATTGGGCCGGCTCGATGCGAACGGACTAACACTTTGCCCTTTAATTGGGCTGGTCCGATGCGAATGGAGATTAGTCTGAATATTGTACGGCTTTAAAGTTTTTTTTTTTTTTTTTTTTAAAATGTACAATTCAGTATTATTAGAGTGCTAGCTTATTGGCTCTTATTTTATTTTATTATTAAAAAAGGAATTATAATTAAAGAAGCAATTAAAGAATGGAGAACAGACATATGTCAAGATCTGATGGGTGGAGCAGTGTTTATACTTGGAAAGGCTGCTGATTTTTCGAGCTGGAATCTTGGAAGGATTCTTATTCTTCTTCAAACAAACACCCAATACCCACCCAAGCTAGCTCTCTATACCCACAATCTTGATCAAATTCCATCGTGAAAAACAGTGGAGGAGTTACAGCAAATTCAATCCAAATCCCAATCCCTCTTTTCTTCTCTCTAGGCCTCTCAGTTACCATTTGTACCCACCAACTAAACCAAAGAAACCACTCTCTCTTCCAACAATATAATCCCTTCTTTTTCTCTTCCTATTAATTCCATCTTGTCCTTTACTTACCAAAACTCTTCCATATCATATCATATGCCCTTCTGTCTTCTCTTCAATTCTCTCTATATCATCTACTCTAGGGTTTGTATAATCATCTCCTTATATTCCCAAACCCACCTCTCCTTTTCTTCTTCTCCCTCTTAGCTGCCTGATTTTTTCACTTTCTTTGTTTCTTCAATGGAGACCCATCAAAGAAACCCCAAAAAGAGAGATCGTGATGAGGAAGAGGACAATGGGTTTCCCAGGAAGGAGGATTTTCCGCCGCCGCCGCCTGCGGCGGCGGCGGCGGGTGATCGGAATCTGAAGGTGAAGTTGAGGATCGACAAAAACCCTCGAGCTGGGGAGTCGCCGGAAAAGAAAGATCACGTGTGTGTGGAGTGTAACAAGAGGTTCAGCTCCGGGAAGGCTTTGGGAGGTCACATGAGCAGCGCCCACGTTCAGGCCAACCGGGACTACTCGTACCGGAAGAAAAAACAGGTGGTCCGCGGCGGAACCTCCGGCAAGGGTTCCGACGAGGACGGCGGCGGAACGGAGGAGGAGGAGTCGGAAGAAGGCCGGCGAGAGTACTACCGGGATAAAGACGGCCAGATCAGATGCCCCCACTGCTGCAAAAAGTTCCCGTCAAGAAAATCGTTGTTTGGGCACATGCGATGCCACCCTGATAGATACTGGAGAGGGATGGAACCTCCGCCTCTCCACCACCAAACCCTCACCATCTCCGACCACCAAACCCTCGCCATCTCCGACCACCACAACACTTACAAGTCTTCTTCTTCAGAAGAAGAAGAAGACGAGAAAGACGAAAAAGAGATCTCTCCTGAGGGAGTAATTGATTTGCAAGGATATCTATCCACCTGGGCATCAACCGCCAAAAGAGGCCGCTCTCCGATCAACCGAAGAATCTCCTCCACCTCCTCCGGCGACGACTCCGACGAGGAACTCCAGGAAGCCGTCCACCATCTGGTATGTCTGGGCAATGCCCAAAACCCTAACCCTGAAATTAACCCTGGTTTTATGGGTAAGGGCAAGGAAAGATTGAGCGATAATGAAGACGACGACTCAGAAGAGCTGACAAAATGGATTAATCCCAAGAACATTGATTGCCCTAACGAAAACGCTTCAGTTCCAGCACCATCTAATAACAACAATAACAAGAAAAGAAGAATTCTTTTGATGGAAAGTGAAGCGGAATCACCAAAAGAGGCCAGTAGCGATGATTATTCCGATCAGAATATTAAGCTCTTCAAATGCAGCACCTGCAACAAAAGTTTCTCCAGTCACCAAGCTCTGGGAGGCCATAGATCAAGCCACAATAAGTTCAAGCTCAGTGTCCAAAACACCATTGATGACTGGACCAACGCTTCTGCTTCTTCTGCTCCACTCCAAAACCCCCAATCCTATCCACAAACTGTTGCAAACCCCCATGAAAACAACAACAATGATGCCTCAAATGCTAGCTCAAAGTACCAATGCAGTGTCTGCAACAAAGTTTTCGCGACCGGGAAAGCATTGGGAGGCCACAAGAAGTGCCACTCGACACCTCAATTGATTCAGCCTGCTCTTCCTAATTCCCCAGAAAGATCATCAACTCCCAGAAACAACACCATTGATGATGAGGATGAGGATGATGATGAACCTAAGCACCTGGATTTCGATCTCAATGAGATTCCAAATGATGGGTAAATCAAACCATTTCAGTTCAATTCTCTGCTACCTCTAGCTAGCTAGCTAGCTGAGGTAGGAGGATATATCATATATGCTTTTTTTATCAGTAAGGAGACAAATTTAAGGTATATATATTCTATTTTCTTAGCTCTCTAATAGAATATATATATCTTTATAGTTTATATCTTAGCTGTTATTTAGCGTTATTGTTGGATATGGCCTTCACTGTGGCTACTGTGGATTGTTGCGTCGTTAGTTTCTTTGTGATTCAAAATGTGACTCTTAGCTTAATTGCTCCCTGGCCTCTTTGAAGGATTTCAACAATTTATGTATTTCTGTTTCATTGGATTTCAACAATTTATGTATTTCTGTTTCAGTTTATGATCTTTTGTTGAAATTATCATTATATGTGGAACCATTATCACATAATATGTGGTAAATCTTTTATTTGTCAATTGAATTGGTTAGTCCTAGGTAGCTAGCTCGCGGAGATGGTGAAATAGAATAAAATTAAAGAAAGTAATTTCTTTAAATTTTGTTGGTCGTTATTTTTGTGCAGCATAGTGTCAGTCAATTGAATTGGTTAGTCTTAGGTAGCTCGCGGAAATGGTGAAATGAAATAGAATACAAGAAAGTAATTTCTTTAAATTCTGTTGAGTGTTATTTTTGTACAGCATAGTGTCAGCATGTTAGACATTTATAAATGGATATTTAATTCAAATATTATCACATAATGTGGTAAATCTTTAATTTCTCAATTGGTTTATTGGTCCTAGCCTCCTAGGTAGCTCGAGGTAATGATGGAATAGAAGGTTCGTTAGTCCTAAGTAGTTCGCGGAAGGTTCGTTAGGTTAGTCCTAAGTAGCTCGCGGTAATGATGGAATAGAAGGTTCATCGGAAAAATTCTGTTGAGTGTTATTTCTGCGTAGCATAGTTAGGCATTTATAAATAAATATTTAATTCAAATATTGTCAAGTCAAATTTGAGTTTATTCTAGTGCCAAGCTCTAACTCTTTCAAATAATAAGCTCTTTCAAACATTATTTGAAAGAGTAAGTGCTTGGCACTAGAATAAGAACTTGTTGACATTTGTATTGAATATTTATTTATAATTAAAATGTAGACATTATTTTTTAAGAAAATATTAATGAAATTGGAAATAATAAAATAGAAAATGATGATAACAATAAATTTCCAAATGGTGGATGATTTTTTTCAATTTTTAAAAAAGCTGTATTAATTTTTTTCTAACATTAATTTCAATTTCGTTTTTCTTTACTACCTAGTGCATGTGCGGCTTTGATGATTTTATAAATATTTCTGCAAATTGATGTATGAGTACAAGATCTCTGAATGGTTCGCTAATTCTTCAATTGGATAATTTTATTTTCTGAATAATATTTTTTGGATGTTTACATATTTTTCTTAGGATGTTTACATAGGAATGAGAGCTCCCATTTATAGTTAAGATAAAAAGAATTTTGATAAGTTCGAACTCTTTTGATATTATCTAATTAAACAAATTAGATAATATTAATATTATTCAAAATATATTCAAATATTTGAATATTATTTTTATCAAATTTTCAATTTGATTATATGAATTATCTTTTACAACTCTTTTTCACATCATTATGAGTCTGTTTGGCTCCTTTTTTAGGAGCTTATAGCTTATTTTAAGCTACTAATAAGCTTAGTAATGTCCCAAACTACTAATAAGTTATAAGCTCTATTTGGTAACTATAAGCTCTATTTGGTAATGTTCCAAAATAAGCTACGGAGCTTATAGTTTATTTTAAGCTACTAATAAGTTATAAGCTCTGTTTAGTAATGTTCCAAACTACTAATAAGCTATAAACTCTGTTTGGTAATGTTCTAAAATAAGCTCGTAACTTAAAATAAGAGCTTATTTTGGAACGCTACCTTAAGTTTCAAAATAAGATAGTAGCTTCTTATTTTTTTTCTATCTTTGTCCTTATTATTTTAATTAATAAAGAAATGACATCCTTTACCCATCTCAATTAAAACTCCTTTCTCTTCTCCTTGCAACTTTCACCGCAAATATAATAATAATAATAATAATAATAATAATAATAATAATAATAATAATAATAATTACTATTATTTGGAGATTCGCAACAATATTGTTACTTCATTATGTGATGTTTGATCATGATTATGTTAATAGTTTTATTTCAAAATGTTAATTTTTTTTTTAAAGACAAAATGTTAAATTTTAATATGTAAACAAACTAATTCAAATTTTATCAAGATGTCTTTTTTATCTTTTTACATTTATCAACTTACCAAAAAGTTAATTTTACCAAACATTTTCAACCATAATAGCTAGCTTAACGGCTCTTCAATTTTCAGTTCTTAGCTTATAACTTTTCAGCTTTCGGCTCTTTTTCAGCTAGGTTGCGAAACATAGCATATATATTTTCGTATGTGTATGTACGTTGATTATATTAACATCATCTTACATATGAAATCCATCATTATTTGTTTTTAACGAAAATTTAATTGGATATATGACACATAATTGAAATCCTTCAAGAATGTTTTATCCCTCTTCATTCTCCCCAACTTGAAGCATTCAACATTTCCGTCCAACAATAATGTTGGTCGGTAATTTGTAAAAAAATCACTATTTCGACTTTGAGTTTTTTGTTTTGTTTTGTTTTTTTGTTTTTTTTTTTTTTTTTTTTTTTTTGGATAGAGAGAATCAAATATTTCTTAAAAGGTTAAGATTAAATGTTTATCATTATGCCAAAATAAGTAAATGTGATGTTAATAGATGGATCTCGAACTGAAGGTTATATATTATCATATCGTTGGTTGTTCGCAAAATTTTTGGCAAAGGTCTTGTGAAGTTGTGATTACCAATTTAATTCCCTTGAAATGTTCAGAAAAATTCATTCAATCAAGCTAGTTTAATTGTGTGCTTGTGAAAAATATATTTTGAAAAGAATACGCACTTCATTAATAAGTATCCCTTGTGAAAAATATATAGGCTATGTTTGGTAAAATAGTTAGCATATCAGTTAATTTTGCCTTATTTGACCACTATTAGTTGCTTAATTTGGTTAAAAAATTACTATAAGTGTTTGGTTAATCAGCTTTTTGTAACTCCAAAATTCTAAAATTCAAACAATTGCTCAAAACAACTTTTTGAATTATCTTTTTGAGAGAAAAAAAAATATACCAAACTACTATCAGCTAACAGCTAATTTACCAAACATTTTCTACAAACAGCTAACGTTATTAACCAATTATACCCTATAACCCAAACAGCTAACATCTAACGACCATTTACCAAACAGCGGTATAAACAACTAGTTAGTTCAAATGTTAACAAGCCTAATTCGATTTTACACGAGTGCCAAGCCCTCTTAGTTCATACTAGAGCTCATAATTACTTCAAATACTCTGTATCAAATATAATTAATTGCACTTGTAATATGTTGAATATACTAGTATTTTTACCCACTTGTACTCTTGTAGTCATCGACTAAAACTTTAAACGCTTATAAATTTACTAAATTTAGTCTAGTGTATTTAACAATATTGGTTAGTTCAGTTGACAAAAGTTTACCAAAATAGAAAATAATAATTAGTAGTTTTTATTTTTATTTTTTGATTTATAGGGAAATTGAAAAATTAAAGTCACTACATAAATTTTATAAACTACATCAAACCAATAAAATTAAAGTGCAAAATAAGTAGTATTAGAAGTACAGTTTAACTCAAACGGTTGAAAGCACAAAGAGTTAGATCAACAGAATATCTCTATTGAGGATTGAACATTGACCTATCATTTGAAAAAGTCACAATTATATCAATTTACTAGGCTAATAACTTTTCTAGCTAGACCTAATTTTCTTCTATTGGGTAATATATATATATATATATATATATATATATATATATATATATATATATATATATATATATATATATACATACTGAGTATTATATTATTTGGTTATAGAGGGAGGGTTTAGAAGGCCATGAGTAAGAAATATAAAAAGGTTTTGGGTAGCAAATCTGATAATATTATTCACATGAGAAATTGAAAGATTAATTAATGACAAATTATTATCAAAAAGTGATAGACAATAATTATATTAGGTTTTTTTATTTTTTTATTTTTTATTTTTACGAAAATGACAAAAGAAGACAAAAGGACATGCAACCAACCGTTATCAATATGTAGACAGAGATAATGATGCAAAAATAGGCACACTACTCAAGATGAGAATTAAACTTTACAAGCCTAACTTTTTAAAAAAATTATTTCATGTTTATATTTTTTTAATAATTTAAAATCTTAATAAATTATAGACAATACACTATAATTTTTTTTTTTTTTTTTTGGATTGAGGTATAGTACGTATGTGTTAATTCATTACACTTCAGGCTTCAACAGTAGAACAAAAAATAACATTAAAAACAGTAGTCCATCCAATAGTTCAGCAACGTAACAACAACGTTGGCTTTTACAGGTTGAATTTAGGATGTTGGAGCTCACAGTCACAGAAATGGTTGCGTAGTAGTTAGTTTCTTTGTGATTCAAAATGTGACTCTTAGCTTGCTCCGATCCTCTTTGGAGGATTTCAACAATAATTTTAGTGTTTGTGTTTCTTCTTTATGCCCTTGTGTTCAAATCATATCATATAAATTTTGTCAAATTCATCAATCCTAGGTAGCATGCACGCAGAGATCGAGAAATAGAATACAAGAACGTAATTTCTTTACATTTTGTTGAACGTTTCTGTGCATTATATATATATATATATATATATATATATATATATATATATATATATATATATATGGTAGGGTTCCAGTGAGAACACATCATGTACATCCATCTAATATTTTTTAATAGTTTAGATTAGATTAAGTGTGTGCGAACGCACATTAAATGTGTGCAACCACACTAAATCGCGTTTGCACACATTTAATGCATGTTCGCACACATTTAATGCATGTTCGCACACACTTAATCTAATCTAG